TCATAAATATATACACTTTTTGTGCATAAAGATATTGCCATAGAGTTGTTAACATTCAAAGGCATTCAATGCTATAGAGTGCCTCTACACCTAAGAAGTATTTTTGATTTTTATTGCAGGATTGTTTCTAATAATAGCCTCAATATCCGATAAAAGATGGTTATTCCAAAGTATTTCCTTTTTTATTTTGAAATATTCAAAATATTTACATTTTCCAATTTGTATCATTTTTACCAATAAAACAATACTTGATAAAAAAAAAAGCAATGTTATAACATAAGGTTTCTCAACATACTTAAGCTTTCTTTTTTATGATTTACGTAACCGCCTTTGACTATCCGGTTCATTTATATTAGCGATTAGCCGATTACGAAGTCCTTACCGACCACAACTTGTTTTGTCCTTAAGCACTTTAGGAAAGCCAATGATGACCGTAATATAGTATGCGATGTCCAAAACATGTCGGCACAGCCGAGCGCTAGAAAAAATTCATTCAAGATTTAAATCACCGTAAATAGGCAAAAGTTCCTAAAGGAATGAAGTTACCGTTGTGATTGAGAAAATCTCCAGGCTTGATCATGGTGTTAGGATTAACGATATAGGTGAATCACTGACGGCCAGTTGCAAAAACCTCCCAGGAACAAGTCTATACACTGTCAGGTTTTACAGACGTTTTTCTGTAAATAACAAGCAGATCACATCGTCCGAAATCTTCAAAATGGTATCACAACAAAAGCTGTAGGATTTTCTGTGGGAAATATGGTATAAATTCGAAAATATTCAGCAGTTCAATAAACCATGCTTTCTCTTTTGGTAAACGGATCAATAATGATCACGTGATGGATAAGAGCTTTGCTGATTGGTTGAACCCATATTTAGATGTAGGAAAAGGGGGTAAAATTAGTTCAATAAAAGAACCGAATAGCTGCTTAGTATAAAGCTATGTACAATACAGACACTGTTATATAATAACATAATAAAACAAGAACATGTCACATAAATGAAATATTTGCAATAATTACTATTTCAAGATTTACAATATTTTGATAGAATATCTGTGTGTTTCGCTGAAACTTACTTTGGAAAATATATATGTAGTATATATTTTTCTTTAATGATGACCGTTTCACAATTTTAATATGTCCGCAATCTCATTTTTTATTTAAAGAAATGGGATGTCTGTAATATACCGAATTTAATGTTTTCTTTCCTTTTTTATGTCTTTGAATGATATTTACAAATACGTTGCCGATATAAAGCTAAAGTATACAATATAGTTTGCCAATGTAAAGTATACTATTGAGAACATAGGTGCTTTATGTACCTCCTCAATCAAAATTAAACGTCTTAGACTTTGTGTGTCCCCTCAATAAAAACATGGTACTTTTTTGTGTTATCCACAAAAACGTCTGATAATTTTTTATGTCTTCTCGTTAAAAACGTCTATTACTCTTTTTTTGCTTGTCAAGGATTTTTAGTTGGTATTAGTGCCCCCTACTGAAAATATATGGCTGTTATCCCAAAACAAAACTTGCTTCCTACGGACCTGCATTGTGTATTAAATGGCTGCTCAATAACATGAGTTGGCATATATTTTTTTTAATTTTATTTAACAAATAAACTATATTCGATTCATAAATGAATTTTCAAAATAAAAAGTATTATTTCATTGAAGGATAAAAAGAACCCCAGAAAATTATCCGAAAATTTGAGTTATTCTCTTTTTAAGAAACAAAGAATTAGTAAACAGCTAAAATAAATGGTATATCACAGATCTGGCTGATTGTTAAGCATGTAATGAAGAAACACCATGCACAGAGCATTCTGGGGTTAATTTTTAGTTCTACTGGTCGATGACCAGGAAATCTTATGCGAGAGTAATGTATCCCTGGTCCATTTGTCTGTCAGTTAACTTTTTTATTTCAAAATGCAACTCCTCTTATAGCTTTGGTCTGATTTTAATATAACTTATTAAACACAAATTAAAAGTACACTATGCTTCGATACACAATTTCTTATGCTAGAATCGGTTTTGATTTCGATGAAAAGTGTTGCCTTGGTTACTAAGTATAGAAATGTCTTTTAAATGTTTTCAAATTCCTACTCCTCTTACAGTATTGATCCTATTGTAATTTAACTTTGCACACAACTAGTGTACACACTAAGATACATAATTCTGGTCATCGGTTTTCGGTTACTTAAAAATTGATATTTCTGTGAAATACTTTCAAAATGCTACTCCTCCTACAGTTTTAGTCTGATTTCAAATTGACCATATTTAGTTACAATAACATAAATATAAATCAATGTATTGGTAACATGTATCGATTTTCGATTAACGCTGTTGCTCTGGTTACTAAAGAAATTGTGGAATTCTTTTGAAATAATATTCCTTAATACAGATTCAGTCTTATTATAATATATATTAGGGATGCAATTAGAATACACTGAGATAATAATTGTCTTTATTATTTTTTTAATTTTGATGAATGATGTTGCCATGGTCGTACAATCGAACTTAAATTAAAAATTCTATCTACAGTTGTAGTCTTTTTGCAAGCTTGCCACAAAAAAGACTTTATCAAGGATCATTATTCTATTTATTGCAGTTGTAAAGTTTCAGGTCCCTATTGCTACTTTTCTCTTTCCCATTTATAAGTAGTAACCAGTAGAGTTACAGTCTCGACAGAGATTTTTGGTTATTTGTTATCGAGGTCTTGTGATTGATATAAATCGTTGGACTAGATTTCCACTATATATCTCAACACAGCATATATGAAGTTATTGAAAGAGCTTGAAAAAATAATTACAAAAGATATATTTTAGACCAAAAGGAGAAATATCCCATTTTATAATCAATTTACACAATGGCATAACGAAGGCGTGTTAATACTAAATATTTAAAGACCTTGATTGAAATCTAAAGGTACATTCATTATATGCACGCATGAAAAGCTACCTCTCAAAAGACGCTATTTATACTTCCTTGTCTGCATTAGGAAACGATCTCAATGTAAATATTTAAGAACTTGATAATTCAAAACGGAATAAGTTATTTAAGTGTCCCTCAATGCTCACTTCTTCAGGTTTATATCTAGACAGAAAATTTCAAGAATTATTTTTTTAACCGTGCATAATCGACATTTTTCAAAGAAATAGAAGCGCACTGGTTAGATTGTCTGCTGTAGGTTCGTGGAATAAGGAGTTGATTCTTGCGTCGCGGGTTCGAGTCCCACTGGAGATTGGGCCTTTGGATGATACCATATAAACCGAAGACCCGTGCCGGAGTTGGTGCTGGCACGCAAAAGATCCTCCAGAGCTCATTTGCCTTAAGTGCCGAGTATAGGGCAAAATTTGTAGCTCTCAACCGGCAAATAGTGGCGTTACCATATAAGAGAAAACTTAAAAAGAATTTGAAGAGACCTTGAACAATTAACATGTAAATAAATTAACAAGAAAAAAAGATGAAACACCTATGCTCCCGTATGGCTGCTTATGGCGAGGTTTGGATTCTCAAATGCATGTCAAACCCCAAGGTCAAGGTCAAAAGTTTTGTACTCAAAGGAAGGGCTTGTTACAAGCATACACATGTGAAATATGAAAGCCCTAGTTTTAACTGTGTATTTTTTTTCAAAAGTGAGTCAAACTCTAAGGTCAAGGTCAAATGGTCAAACATATTTTTCAAGCGGAAAGGTCTTGTAACAACAAATAAACATGTGAAGAATGAAAAAGTTCTAGCTCCAACTTAATTAAAATTATGGCTAGGTTAAAGTTAGGATTATTTCGGTAAAGTGAGCCAAACTCAACGGTCAGGGTCAAATTTGGTGATAGCAACAAAATGGCCATGTCACAAGAAATACACCTGTAAAATATGAAAGTCATAGCCTCTTCCACTCAATGGTTATGGTATAGGTTAAAGTTGACAACAGACTGACATAGAGACCGAACAAAATCAATATAATCCCCCCGGAAGCTTTCGATTCCGGGACATAATTATTAATGTAAATCCTTGAAATAAATAGTTTTCAAATATAATTTCCTTAGATCTATAATTTTAAATTAACAAAACATTTTTCACTCGTCTGGTTATGGTAACAAAACATGATTAAATTGTCTGTTCTTGCAATGATAGACCAGTAATTGTTTAAAAAGTCAATAAACAAAGTAAATAAGACATCTTCTTTAAATTTTGTTTGATTTCATCCAGATTCCACTAAAACAAACAGTAACATATTAATTATTGTAACATGAACCATACATGTTTCCATACCAGAGTAAAATGTTTACAAACATGTTTGACTGATCAAGCAAAGTATTCTGTTTAAAATTTAATTCTAAAAATTGATTTAGCAGCAGGCAGCAGATTTTTCCGAGAATTTAATTTCCAATAATTGCAAAGTGGAATGTTTAAACTAGTCTTGATTAAAAATAGGACCAAGTCAATCAGATCATGTTATTGCTAAAGAAACTCTTGTTTAAAGAGAGAAATTCATGACTCATTGTATTTGAAAATACATGTACATGTAAAAAAAATTAATTGTTTTCAGTTAGTTAAACATGAAAAAGAATTGGCAATTTCTGTCCCTGGAAAAAAAATTAGAAGGGTTGATTTTTTAAGTTTCGGCAAATAAATATTTACATTTATATCAACTACTTTGACTGCAAAAGGCGATTGTTTTTATAAATTACCTGTAAGTCAGGCCCAGTCAAAATCTTTATATTAAAGTGTAATGTTGAGGAGGTAAAGCAGATCAAAATCAAAATATATTTAAATTAATACACATTTTACATGCGTTTGAGAACTTGACTTAAGTCTAAGTTTGTTTCATGATCCTGAGGCCAGATTCCGTAACGCGTAAAAATATGACTTGCAAATTATAGGAAGCTATCGATATTCAATAAATATTGCAGCGTTTTAAATGCCAGTTGAATTCTTCCTGCTTTAGTTTTTTTTAAAACAGGATCAATACAGGTTACCATATATTTTTCTCGAAAGAACAGTGGCAGTATGAGCAATTTTGTCATATATTTCTGCCTCTTTTCGTGTCAATTTTGTGGAATAACGGCATTTGGTAAGTTAGTCGTAACTATGGTTTCTTAAGTGATTTGACGCCATTAAAACTACATTGAAAATGAAAATAGCAAACAGCTGCAGGAATATATTATCATATTCAAATATTTACATGTGCCAATATCTTTCCTTATATAACAATATTTATTTATATAATTGCAATTCCATTTTTTAATGACATGCAGTTGGTCACTTGATCAGACTTTGTCATTTGGAAAGCTCCGATTGTGACGTGAAATGAGATCGATGGTACATTATGTACGTTTTATTGCATTTCAATAGCAAAGAACAAAGTCTAAATAGTGCCTATATTTCTTTGTAACACGTGTAAAAGTAAAATATAGCTATAAGAAATACAATGTCTTTTTTAGGGTTTCATATTAAGTTATGGCGTTAAGTTGGTACTTGATCAAATCTAGTTTAACGAAATTCGGGCGTTATAGAATTTGATTACGTGACCAACTTCATGCCAAACCCCATTGAAACTCTAAAAATTATATCTTATTTATTAAATGATGAAGATAACAAGCCGCAGAAAAATAATAAAGCTCTAAGGTCCATTTGAAATATACACACTAAGATCAAGGCCATGGACTTATTGTAGGCCTTTCAACTAATTTTTAAAGTTGCACATATAGTAAAATACATTTCATTGATAGATTTATAGGAACATGAAAGTATCAAAAAAGATAACAACTTATGCATACGTTTTAAGAACAGGTAACTCAGATGTGAAAAATGACCAACTAAGTGCCGATTTATGAGTTATCGTTTATAAGAATGACATATAGGCTACTTCAGTATTGGTATTGTTATTTACACAAAAGGGTTCCTTTCATTGTTTTGTACATAAAAGCTTTGACCAAAAGGAGGAGAATGTCCTCACTCTACCTGAAATAACAGGGTCAAATGAATGGGGAACAGACCATATTCAATATTTCAACTCTCTTTGACGATTGTTATGAGGAAGAAAATATAATGACATGTTTTATTTGTGCACGCTTTTTCGCTTCCTATATCAATATATTAATTTGTACAAGTAAATGCATCAATTAATCATCTTATTTGTGTTACCTAGCACGAAGAAGTACGACCGAGTTTAAACATTTAATCAGGTTAGAACTAAGAAGGAGGGTTGATTTCACTTTTATTTAATTAAAAGTTTTAATTTACTTCTATCTAATTAAACGGGGTCCCGACTATATGGTAAATAAGTCTATCATTAGTGCTAAATTTTAAAACCACTGGATTCTATTGACTATTGACAGCAAAGAAACACTCGGGATATGCTACAAACGGACTTGTGTACATAAACAGTTAGATACCTCGGACCTGCTCTAAACAAGTTTCAGCAACCATTTATCGATCATAACAGCGAACCCTAGCGGCAATTGAAAGGCCTACTTATTGCTTGTGTATTGCTTTACGGCAGTATTTCAGCCATATCTTGACGTTGAAGATGACATACATGTATCAAATATACGATTCCACCCTTTTTATTAAATAAAACTAAACAGAATCATTAAAAGATAGGGGTATTAAAGATTTGTCATTCCATTGCAAAGCCTGAAACTGCGCTTCTAAGTCTTGTACTGAGGGTAACTTTCTCTTATCGGCACTTCCTCTGAACTACTAAATTTTGATTCAATGAATCTTAATCAAATACTGTCATCGTGTACGAAGTTTTTTTTTTCTATGCCTAGATATTGCCAATTTGAATGATGTAATTGGCAGAAAAAACTTTTGGGAAAAATGAAAAAAAAAACTCTTTTAAACTTAATTTAATAAAAGCCCAATTGGTACCAACTATTTAATGGACAGATATTTAAGGTTTTTCATAGTACACTATGGGAAGGCCGATGACTCTATCATAGTTTAATAAAATTTTTCGACGGTGATTACAAGCATTTAATAAAACTGAGAAATTAAATATTGATTAAGTGCAATTACACAGATGACCGTAATCTCTGTACAAAATCATGTATTTTTAAAAGATGCATGAAATATGTTTTTTTTTCTTTTAATCATCATGTTGTATAACATCCCTGTAAACGCGCGATCAGCAACCCCCCCCCCCCCCACTTTTATTTCCTAACATAACCTTTAACTACTGAAAATGATCATTGAAAAAGCGACCCCTAACTCCCCTTCCCAACTTAAAATTTAGTAAAGTAATATAATGATTTTAATATATTACACCTCATTTAAGAAATATAGGATTTTGGAGTTTGGACATTTTTTTGTTTGGCTTGTCAAGCCCCCCCCCCCCTATATATATACGGGAGGTGTAACCCCCCCCCTTCAAAAACGAGGCTATGTCCCTGAAATGAAAGCAGTTTGGTTTGTGCTGGAGTATAATTAGCTGTAAATAAAACTAGAAAATCTTTAATTAGGGTTAATATTAATGTATACTTTTCAGGATTCACTTCGTGTATATTTGTAAAATAGTTTCTGTGCAAATGTTAAATAGACAATGCTCCTATCGTATTCCAATGCTCTGAAATAAATCAGAGCTGTTTGTTATCTACCGATATTGAAGTTTTGTTAAGAATATTTGCCAAATATTATAGAAATAAAACTGCAAAAATTAGCATCAACACAATTTTCACTAGAAATTTTGACAACTGCGAATCCATCGTCAACGATGTGTATCGTAATTAAAGCAATCCTATACCTGGAGAAAAAGAGAGAATCGTAATATCGCATAAAAAACAGCCCTAATCAGTAAATTATATGTTCCCCAAATGAAGATTTTAGAACCTCTTACTTTTTTTTTCTTTTAATCAAAATTCTTCACTGGTACTTTTTGTCCGTCAGTGTTCTCGAAAACTACTCGTCCGATTGGGATAAAACTTTTATTAGGTACATGTATGTTAATCAGATGTGCGGAATGAAGGTCATTTTGCGCGCATATTCATGCACGTGCAGGCGTGTGAAATGTATGATATTCTTAATACAGCTGGGTACAATCCACTAATTGTTTTCCCATAGGCGACAATGTTAACGTTTCTTCTCATAGCGATGTCCCTAATTTTCGTTCAGAAATGAGTGACCCCTCAAAATCAAAGCACATAAACTTGTCTTTCCTTGGAGAAATCTCGAAGTGGCATGTGTCATATTCGTTTTCCGGCAAAATGCGTCTGTCTGCGGGAAACTCTAAAAATGAAAGTGAAAGTAGGGGAATTTCAGAATTCTCACTGGCGTATTATTACACAAAATAATTCGGCTGATCTTCTTGATAAATTACATTTGCCAAGCTTTTCTGGTAGGAAAGATACTCCTTATCAACAAGTATGAGGCTCAGTTCAGTACACCTGCCCAATTTTTTTTATGCAAGTCTGCAAATTAAGGAAGTAATTTTTTATGCACTACTTTCTTCACCTACCGATTCTAGAAATAATTAGTGGGATGTACCCATATAAAAATTCATTTTTTTTTGACATGACAGTATTTCACACTGTTTATCAATCTAGAGCATAAGTAGAGACATCATGCCAAGTTTCATAAAATCCAATCATTACCGGTAATTAAGATTTTACAGCATTTACAGTTCTATGTGTAATATCCTTAAAAAATGCTCCAATCTAGCCAAAACTGCACCCAGGTTTTAAGTCAAATTTTAGCCTATTAACACATTTATACCATTTTTATTCACCTTCATAACTTTAAATACATAGTAAAATCATAATCAAGCACTTAATTGGGTCAATTTCAATTATTTTTAAAAAATTAATCTATTTCCGCACAAAATATGACCATTTTTCACCCTACAATTCATAGTTTCTCCAGAAATAATAAAAAATTAAGTTACCAAATACCCCGAAAGTAGTAAAATAAGAAAGTACTGAATATTTCCTGTCCATTGATGTATCATTCATGAAACTTGGTCTATGAATAAAAATGTTATAAGCCTTTATACTCCTAAATAGAATCATTTGTTTAAAAGCAATTCTCATGCCAATGCAAATTTACTCATCTATGACGTCACAATGACATCATAATAATGGATAGCTCAATACATGTTTATCATCACTTTTCCCGTACTTTTTATTAAAGACAAAATCAGTGCAAATATATTCATGTTAAAAATAAAAAATAAAATTTATGTGGTTTTGCAGATTAAATAAATAATCTACTAAAGTTGTTTTGTTTTGTTTCGATGGTAACCATTTTGTAATTTGTAGGAAAATGAGAAAAAAAATTGAATTTCCGGACAAATCGCATAATTTTCACAGTCAAATATTGAAATTTCAATTCTTTTATCTGTGTAATCTTAATAATGCATAATTTACAAAACAATGATGTAGATCTAATTAATTTGAAATTCTTAAATAGGAAAAGAAAATTTATTTGAGCTACAAAATGTACATAACAGTGCATGTACAGATTTGTTATAGATACATACTTTCATATTCTTATCACCAATTTAATATGTACATTTCCTCACCACCGCCACCCACCCCGACCTCACTTCAATGATTTTTTTAGAAAACTTTAACTTACACATTTTGCTGACTGTCACATTTTGCTGGTGATGTTTCAAGATGTATTCAAATGGGTGTGCGTTTGCTGGCCAATAGTTTTTTAACAACACCATCTGCATGAACCTCATGGTTTTCCTGTACCAATCACCATGAACCTAAAAAAAATCAAAACAATAAATGGCACAATATCACATTTGCAGACAGACAGACACACAGACATTCAACACATACAATTTTACGATATTCCTTTTATGCCCATAACTTGAAATTACTAATTAAAATGATGAAGAAGAAGGTATGGTTTCCATACAAATTTTGCCCTGTGATTTTCTAAAAAATGAAACTGGTGTAAAAGTTGAAAACTCATGCTTTTTAAATAATTGAAATTCAATGCAGAAAAATCATACAAGTCATTTTCCTCACATGTGTTTTTAAATGCTAATTATGACGTCATAAACATGTGCATTTTCCCGTATTTTCTTTAAAAGTTGCAGAAGACACCAATTTTCAATGGAAT